CCTCTCGGGGTATCTTTGTCCAGCAGAAGTCGCCTGTACCTATTTTTAATTACTAAGCAATTGTAAAGTAGGTATTCAGGTATTTTATTTAGGTAATACTTAATTTTATTTTAGCTAATGAGCAAAGTTTTTGCCTCAGAGCTCTTTACTGATCAGAAAAATATGTTTACACTGTGTTTAAAAAGTGAATAAACATGAAAGGATGAATATTTAAATTAATTATTTATAAAACGAATCATGTTTCCTTACGAAAACACTTCGCAACTACAAATCGAAGCTAATTTATTTCTATTGAAATTGATTTGAATGCAAAATTAAATTAGTTAAAGCGTTACTGTGTACACTAAAAGCTATGTTAGTTAAATTAGGTACTCATAGTTTTCTATGTACGAGTAAGTGTTACGCAAGCGTACGTCAAGCGTATAGTGACGAATACGCATTTATGAAGTGACGTTATATAAAACCAACAGAATCATAAAGGTTTAGCCAAACCAACGCGATCACACGCGATCAGCCGGCCGCGTGTGATCGCGTTGGTTTGACCGAACCTTAAAATTAAATGTACCTATTATGGTTCATTTTATGAGGTGACGTTTAAAAATAATAATACTTTGAATATTGCATGTAAAGCTCTGTAACGGGTACTTACATTACTCAAAAGTTATGGCTTAATTAAATTTAGTTCCAAGAAACTCACTAATTACTTTACTACAAAGTTGAAGCGGCTCTGGGCTCAGAAAACCGGTTAATCTTTTGACCAGTTAAAGTAAAAATATTATCGTTAGTTATGAACTTTATTACACGCTAATAAAGTTTAAAATAAAGAGGCAACACTTATGTCACATACATATACCTGAACGAATGAATTTTCTTCACACGAAAAATATAGAATGCTGGCAAATTCTATAGAGTTAATTCTTTTCGTTCGTTCGTTTCAGCCGAAAGACGTCTACTGCTGGACAAAGGCCTCCCCCAAGGATTTCCACAAAGAATGGTTCTGCGCCGCTCGCATCCAGGCACCTCCCCCAATTCTTTTTAAATTATATTTTTGAACACCAAGTTAAACTCCGATTTTTTTTCTTATCACATATAGAACGTACTGTCAACAGGTTTTTGTATTTAATAAAGATAGTCTAGCTTCCACTATGCTGATGGTATAAGTATTTATATTTTTCCAAATAATTAGATTTGAGCTAACCTTTGATGTCCAATATCAAAAGATTCGTTTTATTTCGTTCACGGTTCAGGTAAAATCCGATTAATCTGACCAATTAATACAGCTCAGTGGCAAAGTAATTACCGACTCTAAATTAATATTATTACCATTCAATTTTGAATGAATGTTTGTAAGATTTCGCTCAAGAAAATTATCGGTTGATTCTTCAAATCTTTGCATTAGAAAACAGTTTCAAATTACTTTGGGATCTATAATTCAGATTTGGTTTAAAATTCAATAATTTAAGTTTAACTGTAATTTCAAGTAGGATTATTTCATTGCTTGTTTTAAAATTAACAACATTACTTATTCTCTTAAAAAGCGATGTTTCAGTTCAAACGTTACCTTCAAATTTTGACCGACAGTAAAATATGATGCTACCGAGCTAAGATGCACACCGTGATAATGATTTTAGATAAGAAATCCATGGGATTAATCCATGGGCTTATCGCGTAAAATCCATAAAATGGCGTGATAAAAGCTTATCGTCGTATAACGTCAAATTATGTACTTATGATGGGTCAAAAATTCTGTCTGCCATCAACAAAATCTATTTACCTACTTTAAATCTATTAGCAATATCAAGAAAGTATTTTTTATTAAATTAGAAGTAACTGTCCCTTATTAGACACTTGAAAAAAGATTAGATCCTACTTGGACTCAGGAAAGTTAATGTGAAAAAGATTAAAAACAAAATTAAATTAACCAAAGCCCCTTACAGAGGGAAAGTGAAAAATAACCTCCCATATTTTCGCTAAGTGGAGTTTGATTCACATACTCCTTAAGCTCTAAATCAAATGCAATCTCGAGAAGGGAGTTCATTCATTTCGCCCATTCATTCATTCGTTCTTTGGGGGCTTCAATTTTGACTCATTTCAAAGGTGAAGGTAGGTATCGCGCGAAGATTATACAGGGGATTTCTTTTTGTCGTCTTTAGTATTATTTCTCTTGATTTAATAAAAGTTTTATTCGAGTGCTTGATATAGGTATTAGACAAGAGTAAATTGAGTTTGCCAAATGTTTGTCTCGAAGCGCTGGTAGGGCCCAAAAGATAAGGAGACATGTAAAGTGCCCCTTAAGGGCTACCTTTTTTACTGTATTTTGACATTCATAAGTGCCACTAGTGGTCTAAATTAAATTAAATGTTTTTGATTTCATTATTTTTTTGCTAAATCTTGTGTAGACACAGTACTAATTAATGATAATAACTTCTTTAACAAATTAAATCTTGTATTTTAATTTATGTATTTAGTGTTACGATATAGTTATACGACTAAATATTGCTAGTAACACTTTCTCTTTCGGGTACAATATTGCACCTATTTAGGTATTTCAACTTCAATAAAATCAAAATCAAATCAAAATGAAAAAATATTTATTCAATTTAGACCACAAGTGGCACTTATGAACGTCAAAATATAGTAAATAAAATTAAAAAAAAAAGGTATGGCGCACTTTACATGACTACACTAAAAATTGCTGTCAAACGTCATCTACGTACATTATTATTCTGTGGTAAAACTAGCAATGTAGGCCTATAACCTAAAACACTAATTGGATCGCAAATATCAGTTGGTTAAATTAATTAAACATTGGTATCAAAGTTTGGATCACGAATTAGTAGGTAATTGGATTCCTTTAGCGTAATATTACACGTGCCACAATATCGTCGAAGTTTGCCAATTTATGCGTATATCGTAATGTTAACTATTGGACAAATGTCTGTTGGGTATTGCTAATCTAAATATAGTAACTCAAAGGTGACTGACTGACATAGTGATCTATCAACGCACAACCCAAACCACTGTATGGATCGGGCTGAAATTTGGCATGCAGGTAGATGTTATGACGTAGGCATCCGCTAAGAAAGGATTTTACGAAACCCCACCCCTAAGGGGGTAAAACGGGATCCACGTGTACGAAGTCGCGGGCGGCCGCTAGTTAGTTCATAAATTAATTTGGTTTTCTTAAAATTGGGCCTTTAAATGGCCATGACAAGACGAAAAAAACATGCCGAATGTCTGTAATGCATCAACTATTCTGAAGGTTAAATAAAGTAGAGACTCTATGCTCGAATAGTTGTGATTTGTAAAAAGTTTTTGGAACGTGAACAACAGTCCTGTTAGGTGGGTATGTCCAACTTCACTAGAAAAGTCAATCTTCTGAAGGTTGGAAACTCTAACACTTGAAGTTGCTGATGATTACGTTACCTTTTTTAAAGAAAATAGAGCTGGCAGTAGTAGCTTCGTCGAATTGTCCAGTAATTGACTGCTATTTTCTAAAACGATGACATTGTACAGTGTACTAGAATATTTATTTGCAAAAAAAAAGTTCAATAACAACATTACATTACTTTCTTAAGTAGGCTTGGTAGCCTATTTTGTTGTTGTGAGCATGATATTTAATGATTGAAGATTTAAGAGATACCTTTATTTAACACGATGTATATCAAATTACAAACTGATATTACGTACTCTCATATCTCCAAAGAGCGTTCCAGAAAAGAAATTCTCAGACTGAAGCATTCCACAAGCTGTGAACGTAGAAGAAATATTTTCCCAATGCCCGTAAACTGGGAATTCCAGGTATTCCTGCATGTATGCGAGGGAAGGGGTCATAGCTTCACCCATGTTAGTTATAAGTTATTTGTTATGACAGCGTGTTGGTCTGTTAACCGATCTTGGATGAGAACAAGACAAAACAAGTGCTCATTGATTGACAAATAGTGTTGCTTAGATGGTGGTTTGGATATCGATAGCTGATCTTGAAAACTAATTTAGGAATTTGTTATTTTTAATTTACTAGGTATATCTTTATTTTTATAGAGCAACGGTCCGTTTTGATAATATTTTATAAATGCAGACCTAAATCCAGTCTTCATCTAGTTATACTCGAAAGTCTGAAGTAAGAACTATGTCTGTAGGTTTGTAGTGTTTTCACGATTAATAGTCCAGTCATTTTTGGTGCAGAATAACGTGGTTATCTGAAAAGTTTTTCGGGAGTTTTGAAAATTGGTATTTTAAAGATTTTGATAATGCTTTTTCCGAATTTCAACTTTGCGACCTCGTATGGTGACCGCTAGCGCCGCTATATTGGAAAAATACTGCCTAGTAGCAGTTTTTTTTAATATTTCCTTTTGGATTAAATAATTTTATGATAAAATATGCTTAGAGAAACTAAAAATAGAGAAAATTTCCTATTTTTGATGTCTATTAGGTAAGGGCGCTCAAAGTCAATTTAAAACCCACAAACAAAATTAATTTTCTGCCGCCGCAATAAAGTTAACCAAAACAATAATATTTCCGCGCACCCTGTACCGTGGCAGATCTAAATTGAATCTGAATTGGTTCTCGAGCTCATCGCCAGCTCGCATGGCATATGCTATGCTATTACTTAACTTTTTGTAATGGGCATAAACTTTATGTATAGGTAATGTACCGGATGCCTACGTCATACCATCTACCTGCATGCCAAATTTCAGCCCGATCCGTCCAGTGGTCTGGGCTGTGCGTTGATAGATCACTATGTCAGTCAATCAGTCAGTCAGTTGATGGGGTAATAAACAGATTGTCCGACAATTATCTATTGGTACAAGTAGAAAACAGACACAAGTTTAATACTTTTTAAGGGAGTAAAAATGTATTAAGTAGAAAAATACATGACTTTTTTCTTTTCTTTTTCAGTTATTTTACAACACAAGAAAAACCAGATCGTTAAGGTATGTTTTATTTACATTGTATTATTGGTATTTGAGCTATTCTACAAAACAAATGTAAATTTATTAGTCTACGTCTATTAGTTTCGACGTTATTGTTGAACAAAGATACCCCTTCCCAGTAGTTCCATAACTCGGTTAATATGCGAAAATGCACTGCCTTTAAGAATCCCATAACCTAGTCCGACTACATGACTAGCCTTGTATATTTAGATGCACAATTGTTCTAAATTTACTACTAAATTGTTTACCACGAAATGTCATTCACATGCATCTTTGCTTAAAAATTTCAAATAGGCGTTTTAATAATATTAAAAAAATTAAAATATTGATGATGTCAATTATTGGCTTCATTGATTTACAGATATTATATAATTGTCATTATTATTATAATTGTACACCGCAAAGGTACGACATGTTGAAACTATTTATAATAACTTAACACTTAGACTGGGTTGCACCATTGTAATTTAACTTTGACAAACGTCAAAAATCTGTCAAACTCCATACAAAAAGCACCGGTTATCGTCAAAGTTATGGTCAAAGTTAGGTGGTGCAACTCAGCCTGTTTCGAACAAATAAATGTATCTTTATATATAACTGTATCTTTACTTTGGTTTCGGCTCTTGGCCTGTATAGTCTAGATGCAGTTTTGTTCTAAAAATACTAACTTATAAAAGCATAATGTATTCAAAACTATCTAAGATATCACTATTTTATATCACCAAACCGTTTAATTCATTACCAGAACTCCTAGTGGAGAATCTTTGAGTCTTTATTCTTTTTCTTCTTCTTATACATGTATGTTCATTCCTTCTCCTCAATTAGTTCTGGTCTGTAGTTTGACTTGGAAGTTATCAACATGTTTCATCATGAGGTCGTAGTGGACTCGTAGAGGCTCCTTACTGCTGATCCCTGAAGCGGGCAGGACCTTGTACTTCCTCACGAGTGATGTGATGATGGTCTTCATTGACATCATCGCGTACTGGTAGCCTGAAATATTATTATTTTAGTCATCATCATCATTAACAGCCCTTTACAGACCACTGCTAGACTATGAGCCTCTCCCACTATAGTGGAGGGTTTTGCCATAATCCCCACGCTAGTAGTAGTTGAAAAAAAAAATGTTTTTCAGAGAGCGTTGCTGCCCGTTCTCTGTTTGATGTAGTCCCTTAGTATAAGCGCCCATAAAACTTATTTATTGATGCAAGTAGGCTTTTAAAAAGCACTTTTACACGTCCCAGTATTAACCCTCCTACTGCTTGAGGACAATAAATGGGCCAGTTGCTGAGAAGAAGCATCGCAAGAAACTGAGTCACTATTGTCAGCCTTTTTTCAAGGGTTTACAGACTTTAAGAGCGCTTTCACATTTAGGTGACTTTAGCAGCACGACAAACGCGCGACAGACACGCTACCGAAAATTTCATAATACATGACGGTGGATGCCTGCCTTCACATTATAAAAACGCCACTGCCGCGCTGCTGTCGCGCTTCTGACGCCCTAATGTGAAGGCGCTCTAAAATATACATCTTTGACTTTGACTGATGGGGCAGCAAGGTTATGGAGTCGAGACCGAAAAACGCAGCGTGAGACGTCCACCCACAAGGTGGACCGACGACATAAAGGGAACAGTAAAGCGCTGGACGCAAGCCGCTACCAACCGGGTAACATGAAAAGCATTGGGGGAGGCCTATGTTCAGCAGTGGATGATGACTTTGTCTTTTTCCTTACCAAGGCAGTTCCTCGATCCGTAGCTGAAAGGCATATACGCAGCTGGGTGGGTCGGGGGGCTGTCGAAGAACCTTTCTGGCCTGAACTCCTCGGCGTCTTCGCCCCAGTAGCGGGGGTTGCGGTGGATCGCCCACATGTGGATCACTACTCCCACGCCGGGTATGAGTTTTGTACCCGCAGCTGTATAAATTTTAAGTTAGTATTACTAGCGACCCGCTTCCGCTTCGCACAGTACATGAATTATACTTAAAGACCTTCCTCTTGAATCGCCCTATCTATTAAAAAAGCCGCATCAAAATCTGTTCCGTAGTTTTAAAGATCTAAGCATACATAGGGACAGACACAGGAAAGCGAATTTGGTGTATAATATGTAGTGATGGGTATATTTGAATTTTCGGATAGTTGTGACAGTTTCGGATGGATACCGTTTGATAGAGCTCGTGAAGCACTTACAGGATCAGTAATCAGTTTTCGATATCTTGTTTAATTTAGAAATAATCGAGTGGGATAAAATTCAAATTCAAAACGTTTATTTGCTAACTAGCGGCCGCCCGCGACTTCGTACGCGTGGATCCCGTTTTACCCCCTTCATCTATATTACGCGGTTTAGTTTTTTCATACAAATGTTTTTTCCCGCTAACTCCCGTTCCCGTGGGAATTTCGCAATATCCTGTTGTAACTAAGCTTAAAGTTTACTAAGGTACTTGCATGCCAAATTTCAAGCGTCTAACTTAAGCGGTTTAGATTTTTCATACTAAAGGATTTTCCCGCTAACTCCCGTTCCCGTGGGAATTCCTAAGTATACTATAACCTGCCCAGTAGTATGAAGAATAATTGTACCAAGTTTCCTTAAAATCCGTCGAGTAGTTTTTGTTTCTATAAGGAACATACAGACGGACAGACAGACAGACAGACAAAAATTTTACTGATTGCATTTTTGGCATCAGTATCGATCACTAATCTAATCACCCCCTGATAGTTATTTTGAAGATATATTTCATGTACAGAATTGACCTCTCTACAGATTTATTATAAGTATAGATTATTACTTAACATATCCACCCGATAATGACGTGCACATTTTTTTAGTTGGTAAACTCATGCGTCAACCAACCTTCAATAACAAATCTTTTAATTTTCCCAGCTGCTTCTACAACTATTGTGGTGAACACCTATTTTCTGACAAAAGCGTGTTTAGCTTACCACGAGGGGTTAACGGAACTTAAAAAAATACAGTAAATTAGTGACAAACTAGTTTAATACATAGCACGCTTCTAACACCCGTATTTACAAACGATGCTTGCTTAAGTGATGTAGCAAAATCGAACGCACAGCATTGAATAGAGCTCTGTGATTGATTCGTGTAATTGACATTTAATTGTAATGATTAGTATAATTGGATTGTTGACATTGTTATGATTTTATCAAATGACTTTTCATAAGATTAATTAATATTTGTACATGTTCTCCTAATTAACTTTCACATGCCAGTCATGGCAAGGTACACTGTAACGAAATTGATTACACCGGTCAACAAAAAAAAAATTTTTTTTTGCGCATGGTTTTTACTTATTATATTCTGATTATATAAGCAAATGTATATAAAAAAGTGCGATTACAAATCGAAAATATTTGCTTTTTAAAAAGTTATAGCGATTTGAATTTTCCATCTTCATAGTAGAATGTCTCTAAAGATGCACGTCACATTCTCATTGGGATATATTTATAAATAATTATGGGGGCTTATTCGCAAGAACAAGGGGCACGCTTTCATTTCATCATTTCTTTCATTTCATTCAAAATATAGTGGGATTTGAGAAACGACGTTACCAAGGCCAGTATACTGAAAGCATGAAAGGGTTAGATTTTTATGAAAAAAATCTTCTATGGAACATGACAGGAAATTAGAACTTTTCATTTTTAATAAATATTTGGACTCTTATTTTAATTTTTCTCTTGTGAGAATGAATCTTAAATGGATGTTTGTTATGTTTTAATAATTAGAAAGAATGAATGAAAGAAAGAAAAAAAAAAATTTGGCAACAAATTAAATCATCTCTATGTTCATGTTTCATACATTCATTGATATGATTTTTTCTATTTTTTACACAAAAAAGCAAATTCAGAACAATTTTTTGTTGTTATTCTTGTTTCTAAGTTATAAAGCAATAAAAATAAGCTATGCATAACCCGTGCGCAAAAATACTGCAGACAGTTGTTATTTATAAACATCTAATGTGTTAGTGTAAGTGGCCGTAACGTGCTCCCGAGTGCGTTATGGCCTCATACTGAGCAGAGACCAATTTGGTACAACAATTGTATTATTTTTACTTTGTAATGTCAATGTGTATCATTTAGTACCAAATATATATTTTTTCTTTCTTTCTTTCTAATGGACGTGTATTTCTGTGAATAAATGAATTTGAATTTGAATTTGTGACCCTGTGCGTCCACGCGCACTGTGAGACCTCATAGTAATGTTTGTGAATACGGGCGTAAAAGTCTGTCAGTTTCATTGTAACACATGAGTCTATTAATTAACTAAGGTCACTAACCTAAGGTCACGGCTAAATGGACTGACGCGACTGCTTTTAATGTGACTTCCGAATCAGTTTTATTTCGGACGGTCAAGGTGATTCAAGTCTGTAATATCTTGACCAAAATGGAAACAAATACGCTATAGATCGTTTCATCCACGAAGACGCGCCCCACCAATTTTTGGTCGAGGGAAGCGCGGGGTGGGGGGAGCTTGATCCGAGCAATCCAATCGTCATTATTGTAGTGTGCGTGTGCACTCATGGATAATTTAGCGTGTACCGATAACACTCAAACATTAGCGGAAGAATAGTGAGGCGCGCCTTCGTAGATGAAACGAAGTATGTGTCTTAGAATGTGCCACTAGGAGGACTAGCGATAAATCAGTATGTCTGTGTCATGCATGATACGCAGCGTAGGACGTCCACCCCCAAGATGGACCGACGACCTCATAAAGGTAGGTAACGGGAAGGCGTTGGATGCAAGCCGCCACCAACCGGCTATTGTGGAAATCATTGGGGGAGGCCAAACCTGAAGAGGCCTGAAACGATGATGATGATAATGCCTGATACTTACGGGTCACGCATTCTTTGTCGGTTTTCCTTGCCGTGATTGGTACTGGCGGGTACAGTCGCAGCGTTTCCTTTATGAAGGCTTCCAAGTACTTTAGGTGAGGCAAGTCCTCGGCTGTGATCGGCCTGTCCGAATCACCGAATACTGCCTGTATTCTGCAATAAAATTAGTTTTAACTTGAATTCTCGTTATGATTAAAGCATGATATGAAATATTGTAAGTTTAAATGATATCTTGGAATACCATATCTAATTACGACACTATCTCGTTCCCACTGCTGCAGCTCCTATGTATCCAGGATCTAGAGCTGCTTCAACCACACCAAAGCGTGCAGATCGCCATCGCCGGTGCGATCATAGGTCAATGACAGGTCACGCGACCCATGACAGTCCGCGCGACCTGTCATTGGCCTATGACCGCGCCGTGATCGCGCCGGCGATGGCGATCAGCTCGCGTTGGTGTGGTTGAAGCATTCATACGCTATCTTTATGCAGGCCATTTAGTCTTCACTGCAGGAGCATCATGACCCTCTCAAACCCAGAGCGTGTAATAAAAGATTTGGTATTCACTGTACTCCTCACAAAAAGAGGAGTTGAGCCTGATCGCCTATTTGTCCCTTAGTCGCCTTTTTCTAAGTAAGATTGTTCATATTCGATGCTGCCAGAAGCACTCGGCTTCCCGTACGTAATTTAACTTCGAGCTCCTATGTTCTTCTGATTAATTTCGTTGCGGGTCCAATGACAGTTTAAATATCCCTCGGGACAAGCTTGACCTTTACTGGTTGGGTTTTTTATTGGCGATCAAACTGCATCCTGGATACACAGGAGTTGCAGCGGTGGGAACGAGAGGTGGAAATAGTCCCACATACGTACTCTTTATAAATCTTCTCCTGCTTATCAAGATGCTGCGACAGCATGACGGTGACGAATGAGGACCCTACTGCTGAAGTGTCAGTGCCAGCTATCAGCATCACCAGAGACTCTTCGAGCAACTCCCTGTCGGTGTAACCGTGTTCCTCGCCACCTGACGACTCGATCAGCAGGTCCAAGAATGGTTTTGGAGTATACTCTGAAAGGATAGTCAGTTACAGAAACGAAACGGTTGCCCGTTTTCACCATAAATCCCTATTTTTTAAGTGACCCATATAATAACACATAACAGGAGTTTTATTTTCATAGGGCAGTTTCACAATTGGAATGGATGGCAAAATCTTTATCCCTTAACTTAAAAAAGTCTTCATAAAAAGTATAACAATGTACATTTTTCATTGAATTAGTGCACCTACCATCGTTTTTAATCGTATTATTATTTTCTTTCAGCGCAGTCCTTCTTGATTTTATTATCTGAAATTGGAAAAAATATTTTTAATGTACTTAGTCAAGAAAATTATCACTCAATCAAAGGTGTTCTGTGTAAAAATTCCACGATTTAAAATAAATAAGATAAAGTTGTATTGTTAAATTTATTGTTCTATAGAGCATTAAAAATTTGGATACCGGAACAAAGTCACCCTGTATATTTCATTGCAAGCATTAGGCTAGCTCAGTCCTTGTCTTCATAATTTCACAATGTCTCTGCCTTTTATATAGTACTTAGTCATTTTAGTATTTCTAACAGATTTAAGTGTGCGATTATGGGTTGCCGGCAAGGTCAGCTGTCTGCCAAGTTTTTTAGCAAACAATTGAGAAATTGTGTCAGCTTTACTGACTTCATCACTACATTTAGGCTCTTACTACACATTCATATAAATGTGGGTTTAGACTAAACAAAAAACTAGAATAAGAGAGCATTCATTCTTGATTTTTTAGTGTTAACAAAACCTCGCTTTCAGCGTTTACACCACGCGAATATCAAGAACTAGGTTTGTAAAGCATAATATGTGAGCATTCTTAGAATCTTTAAAAAAAGGCAAAACAACAAAAGAATGCTCTGTATCTGTTTACACACAAGAAATTTGCTTGAGAATGAGCGAGCATTCGCACGTTTGGTAAAGCCTTGTCCAGAAGACCAAAGCCGCGAATATCTTCGCACGAACACGAACGTATGTACGAGTATGACACGATTTACGCGCGAATTTACAACTCGCGCGTCTTGTGGACGAAATGTATGGTTGCTAGTATCTCGCCAACGAGCGTATGATACTACGCGCGTAGGATTCGCTGCGAATTCGCCTTCCTGGACAAGGCCTAAACCGATTCTAGTGTGTCATTTGATAAAATTATTATATAAAGTTTGTTAATACTCTAAATCGAATATAAGATTGATACATTTGTGAATGGTCCTGGTAAAAAAGTACTTCAATGAGCCGCCATAACAGTTGATGGAATATAATATTATTTACTAGCTTTCCCCCCACGGCTTCGCCCGCGTGAAATTTTGTTTGTCACAGAAAAACTTTCTCGCGCGCGTGCCTGTTTCGAAAACCGGGATAAAAACTATCCTATGTCCTTTCATGGGACTCAAACTATCTCTATGCCAAATTTCATTAAGATCGATTCAGTGGCTTAGGCGTGAAAGCGACAGAGACAGAGTTACTTTCACATTTATAATAATTACTAGCGGCCGCCCGCGACTTCGTACGCGTGGATCCCGTTTTACCCCCTTCCCGCTTTTCTGTTGAAATTTTTCCTGAATTTTCTTTGCTATAAACCTCACGGAGCCCGAGACCTTTCCAACGAATGCAAAACCGTGGAAATCGGTTCGTGCGTTCTGGAGTTATAGCGTCAGGGAGGAAAACCCGACTTATTTTTGTACAGTGTGAGTCACGTTAAAGTGTACATATGAAAATAGATGAAACTAGACCTATTTTTATCGACAAAAAAGAGGTCAAACATTTTTTTTTATTTTTTTTTATTTTTTTATATAATTTTTTTTCTTCCAATTACTTATTGTAAAGAAAACGTAATAACTTTTAAACTAAGCGGTATATCCTCATAAAATAAAAAACAGTAATAATGCTAATTAACAGGCGATACTAAAAAAATACATAAAATACACAAAAAAGGCCAACAAATAATAAAAAAATATACTTTTTAAAAAAAATCTGCTTTTAAATTCGTGTTTTTTTGGTTATTTGATAAATTTCTCCAAAAAATGCCCCTTTAACCGGTGGTTTTTATTACTTTGAATTATTTTCTATCGTATTACCTTCGTAAAACCAAAAATCGCATGTCTCTATCCCTATCACAACGTTTGCAATGATCGTTTGAACTAAGCTTCTCCGGGCGCGCCATTCAACGCTTCGTTAACAACGAAACTGAAAATGGCTCTAGATTTGTAATTTTGATAAAGACATGTTAGATTTCAAATAAAAACAAAAGATTTCGAAGTAAAATAAGCATTTTAGTTAAAATTAAAATTGTCTCTACCTGTAGCGGAGAATAATGTTGTGGCAGGCCTTTGTTCAAACGATCATAGCAAATGTTGTGATAGGGATAGAGACATGCAATTTTTGGTTTTACAAAGATAATACGATAGAGAATAATACAAAGTAATAAAAACCACCTGTTATAGGGGCATTTTTTGGAGAAATTTATCAAATAACCAGAAAAACACGAATTTAAAAGCAGATTTTTTTTCAAAAAGTATGATTTTTTATTATTTGTAGGCATTTTTTGTGTATTTTATGTATTTTTTTAGTATTGCCTGTTATTTAGCATTATTACTGTTTTTATTTTATCAGGATATACCGCTTAGTTTAAAAGTTATTACGTTTTCTTTACAATAAGTAATTGGAAGAAAAAAAATTCTATATAAAATTAAAAAAAATCTCAAAAAATTTTTGACCTCTTTTTTGTCGATAAAAATAGGTCTAGTTTCATCTGTTTTCATATGTACACTTTAACGTGACTCACACTGTATAGTAGATTAGTAAGGATTAAAAAGGATTAAAAACCATGAGCACTTATTTACCTTAGACACAAAGTCAGTGATAGCATTAGTATATTTCATACACAGATCGTAGTAGCCGGAGAGCTTGTAGGAGAAGTCAGAGTGCAGCCAAGGCGACATTATGCGCGTGGTTATAAATTTGGCCACTTGTGGAAAGTTGTGTAGGAAGAGGTGGTCACCTTGCCTTTGGATGCCCAATTTGCAACCAAGTGTAGTTTCTGAAAAAAATAAAGAAAGAAAGAAGGAAAGAAAAAAAAATATTTGGTCCAAAACAATTATTACAATTTTACAGTTCAAAGTATGTGTTTGAACCCAAAATGGCATCCGCTCAGACACACTGTCTTGATTTCTTTGGCTTCTAAGAACTTTCGTTGCGATTCAATGCGATTAACCAACGTATAAAATACGAGTATCTATATCGTTTCATCCACGAAGACGCACCTCCCAATTCTTTCGCTAATGTTTGAGTGTTATCGGTACACGCTAAATTATCCATGAGCGCACACGCGCGCTACAATAATGAAGCTCAGATTGCACGGATCAAACTCCCCGCATTCCGCGCATCCCTTGATCAAAAATTGGCAGGGCGCGTCTTCGTGGATGAAAAAACTATAACAGCTAGTTATTTTACGTAGTAAATAAGCTTTGATGTCTCTAAATTGAGACAATATCTTTGATCAGGAGTAATCAGAAGAAAAGTGGTTCGTATATTATGCCTTATTAACGACCATTGACCATCAACAATTCGAACATCCAACCCGAACCTACAAACGTCCAAAGTAGCAAGCATTATTTACTAGTGATTTAAGAATTCGGGTCAAAGTAGTCCACAATGAACCTAAAATGGCTTCCAAATAAAAAGAATAAATTGAAAATGAGCTTTATTTACCACAAATAGAATCCATGGTGTAGGTCGTCATGAACTGCCAAACTGAAAAGCTGCCCTTATCGGCCACCTTGCGGAGCTCATCCACCATCACGGCGCCCTGTTCTTGGAACACGTTCATGTAGTGGTTAAGCTTCCTCTGTGCGAAGGTCGGCGCCAGCACCTTGCGGCGCGGCTTCCATATTGGCACTGGAATAGAGACGTTTTTCAACTTGCTGAAAAAGTTTTTTTTCCACAACGAGGAAGCTCTTGGCCTGTATCTCAACTGATGGTAAGTGATGATCAGGCCGAAGGTGGAAGCGAGCTTCACCCGGGATCCTCAACCACGGAGGAACTGACTATCTTACATCTAACTGTCGGAACATAACTAAGCGATATTAAAACACGGGAGTTTTATTCTTGCATTTGTCATATTTAACTCTTTCCAATTATTGAAAAAAGGGGGATGTTCAAATTTGAGGTCTCAGGAAACACTGTGCCGCGTTCTCTGGATCAGTCAGCCAGTCCGACACCGTTTCGGCTATCATGGCTTTAATCTTCGTGGCTGTAGACTTCTTTTATTTTCACTGCTCTCGCCCTCTTCATGGCTACTCGCACCAACGACGAACTAACACAATGGATGCGTCACGAAAAGACATCCCTGGGGATAACAAACCGTTAAAAAGTTCCATATTTTTACCAACCTGAGGCAAAGATGCTGCCGTTGCCAATGATAATCTGCGTGAATTTAAGAACATCGTCTTTCTCGAGATAAGTCTTGAGAACGAATTCCACTTCCGCGGGATCACAGGCCACTGCAAAAAAAGTGCTACACTTTTAATCACGCCTTGACGTCACGGGCCTTTTCTTTTGAAATGAGGGTTTTCGCGATTGAAAAATCCGCCAGATGGCAATACATAGACGCGAGGTCCAAATGCTGCATGATTGGTTATTTTTCATTTGGTGCGCTTTATCTCTTTTTTTCATTATTTTGAAAAAGTGAAAAATGTGTCGAGTATTTTTGTTAAGTTAACTGACAGACTAATTCAAACTCTTGCTTTTTCATTCCTATTCTGCGAGCCATTTCGGTTACTCGAGTTCAAATATTATTGTTCAAACATTTATACTCAAATATTAAAAAGGAACACCTATAAAAGGTGTTCCTTTTTACTCGTACCTATGTTATGTGCATGCAGTAGTACAAACAGTCAAAATAAAAGCTTCCCACCTGCAAATAAGCGCATTCCAAGCCACGCGTTTGTCCAGCCATTGTGTTTAATGCCTTCTCTACCTAGGTCCATCAATGTTTTCATCTTATCTAAAAAAAGAAAACAACTAAGTAAATGGTCTGCTTTAGCGACAGCGCACACTGAGCGACAAACGCGCAACAGCAGCATTCGTCGCGACATGTCGCGTAGTCGCAAGCTATCGTAATCTCTCTTATGAAATGACGCGCGCGCGCGTTTTGAGGCCGCGTCTGTCGCCCAGTATGCGCCGTCGCCAAAACTAAGTAGGTATTATTTATAGATACAGTAACAGAATACAAATACAAGTTTCATTCATAAAATTATATCATATAAAGTAAATGATATCTGCGGATTTAAACTTCTATGTGTCCGGAATTTCAGTCTCTTCTATTCTCGATTACGATACTCGATACTACACTTAAGCTGGGTTGCACCATCTTACTTTAACTTTAACAAACTTCAAAAATCTGTCTGATTCCATACAAAAAACACCGGTTATCGACATAGTTACCGTTAGAGTTAGATGGTGCAACTCAGCGTTAAAAGCACATAAGTTTTTCATAATGGGACATCAATTGTTGCCGAAAGACGGCAATTCTAGTTAAACACCGTGGCATTTTACTTTGTTGAAATAAGTGCTATTTTTACAACAAATATGTAGGTATATCCTGATTTGGCTGTACCTAATTGATGTCTCTGTCGTACTCCCAAAACGTTTAGTATGCATGTACAAGATGGTTTTTTGAATTACAATTCGGCAGTTCACGACCTTGAGACCCATTGGTAATGTATGTAGAACTTTATTATTGTAACAATAAAAGCGATTTTGTAATAGAAATAGTTATGTGCTGTCGTCTGTACATATATTTTAGGATGGAAGTCGTTCACTCGTTCATTCCATTTAAAAAAGTATTGTGATTCTGATTAAGAAACAATTATGTTAAACGATAACAGATAGTTTACTTAACTTATGATTAACTAGTTCCAAAAAAAAAACAGCTACTAATGCGGTCTTAATAATTGCAATGATCTCCATTAGCCAACTCGGGGAGTTTATAAAACACAAAACAATGTAAGTTATGATATTTATTTTAAAATTTGACTTATCTTTAATTTAATACTACTAAAACTGATACTATTCAATTCAAAATATTCAAAATTGAGTAAAAAGGACTAACCTTCACTGCTTCCAATAAACCTGTGTGCTATTCCAATAAATGGATATGTAGGTATATCAGATTTGATGTATTTGCACATATCCCTTTTAGCCCTGTTCTGCCACCACAATATTGCCATCCATGCAAATGTTAACACTAAAAATATTTCAACTAGCATTTTTTCTAATTTTTAAACTGTTATTGTTTTAACTTTTGTTCTAAAAACGGACAATAGTCACACGCACAAAACTAAAAACTAAAATGAAACTTATTAAAGTGAAGCTTCCAACTTTTCAACCTTGACATAAGATGGAGACCTGAACACCCGGCACGTCTAAACGGTCAGGACGTCTAGGTTGAAATATTTTGCGTAACAACATGTCTTGTCTTAAAAGCTAATGGCAAATTCGTAAAGAATATTAAAGGGGCGGGACTCGCTCGTCGTCTCGCGGAAGATTTAGATTTTTCGAGTGTCCATGATGGATATTTGAAGTTAACAAAAAAGATCCCTGTAAATAGCTAAAATCAAAAATATCTATACAGGGTGACTTTGCAATCAGTATTCAATATTTTTAATAAGCTCTATAGAACAATTTGATAATACTACTTTATCTTGATTATTTTTAATCATGTTTTAATTCGCCAAAAAAATTTTGAAAATTTAATTCGCGGGTGCATTCAACTTAAGTTTTAAAGGATAAGGCTTATTTTTGCTCACCGTTATGTTTATTAGGTTTTGCAGTTACTTGTGTTTATGTATTTTCTATGAACCAAGTAAATTATTCACGTGTGCCAATTTTGAAATTTTGTTTGGTTAAAATAATTAATTATGAAAAAAATTCCCAATAAAGTCCCAAAATAAGCCGGCGCCGTAGGCTAGACATAGTCATGACTACTTTAGGAAAAATATGAAAAAAAAAAAAATTAATAAATTATATCCTTGGACATTATACATTGCGCCTCTAGTCCCAAACAAAGCGAAGCTTGTATTTGGTACTATGGGTACTAGACAACGGTTATAAATAATACTTAAATCCTTTTTTTGTAAATACATACATTATTATATAATATAAAAAAAACCCGTCCAATACAAACAAATTTATGTCCATGCACACAAATGTTTGTACTGAGCGGGAAATGAACCCGCGGCCTCTCGGCATAGTAGTCCGTTTCGAACCACTACACCAAACGGCCGACAAATTAAGATAGATTTTTAGAAAGCGCTTTAATGCGTCTCATTTAAATCCTACCACTGATTCAAGACAATTCATGCGCCAATGCTGAGAAGAAGCAGCGCAAGAAACTTTCATCCACCACCATCATAATTTCAGCCAAAGGATGTCCACTGCTGCACATAGATCTCCCCCAAATTATTTACATATTGACTGGTCGGTAGCAGCCTGCATCCAGCGACTTACAGCTTCATGACGTCGACCTTCATGACGTTGTCGGTCGATCGGTCGTGTTTTATGACGTCACTTAATTAAAATACACAATGTTATACAATCAAGCAGTTTCAATGACCATGGTGATCAATAATCTGACCCACTTACGCAATAATAAGGTCAAAAATGTAGTTAATGTTACTGGTTCTAATTTACTAATTTATTTAAAATATACAAGGTGACAGCTGCACGTGACCATCAGAAATAGAATATTAATTTGTATTTATAATAATAACTAGCGGCTGCCCGCGACTTCGTACGCGTGGATCCCGTTTTACCCCCTTCATATATCTTACGCGGTTTTGATTTTTTCATACTAATGTTTTTCCGCTAACTCCCGTTCCCTTGGGAATTTTGCAATATCCTGTTGTAACTAAGCTTTAAGTTTACTAAGGTACCTGCATGCCAAATTTCAAGCGTCTAACTTAAGCGGTTTGGATTTTTCATACAAAAGGATTTTCCCGCTAATTCCCTTTCCCGTGGGAATTCCTAAGTATACTATAACCTGCCCAGGAGTATGAAGAATAATTGTACCGTGTTTCGTTAAAATCCGTCTAGTAGTTTTTGTTTCTATAAGGAACATACAGACAGACAGACAGACAGACAAAAATTTTACTGATTGCATTTTTGGCATCAGTATCGATCACTAATCACACCCTGATAGTTATTTTGAAAATATATTTCATGTACAGAATTGACCTCTCTACAGATTTATTATAAGTATAGATGAATAATATTATTGAGAAAAAATAACCTTAACCTTAACATATCAATCCCCAAGTGGTGCATTATGAGCGCGTGACAATTGATTAATCTTTGTATCTTGATTCACGGGGCTTGGAGGGTTAAAATGACTACATAATAGGGCTTTTTAAAAACATTGCTTTTTCATGGGAAAAATCTTAATACTTTTTTTTCATACAAACTTCAAAAGTGAATAACTTGGATACAGTTAGAGCATTCCTTTTTTCACGATAATTTTTCATAGGATAACATATCTTCCTGCACATACATGTGCAGGAAGATAAAATACTTCAACATAAGCTAAATAAAATTATGAAACACATTCTACTACTAAAACATTTTAAAATTATTAAGTTATCCTAAGTTATAAGAAGAAATTATATTTTATGTTGTTATTAATAGTACATTTCAAGACTGATCATTGAACTTGGCACCCATTTAGATTTCACTTCTTTTGTCGTTGAAGTCAACAACCAAGGCATATAATAATATTGAACTTGGCTCTCATTTCACATTTTATGTTTTTGATGGGATCAAGATTTTTAACCTGTTTTTCGCAGTAACTGTTTAATTATTATTATATTTACGTCAAACTGCCAAAAGTCATAATTAGCACTAGTTAGCACCATTAACTCTACAATGTAGGTACGTAATAATAAAACTATTAGACAATAAATGACCATCATAAATGACGGCATTAATTGCCTTGAATGTTTTCGTAGAATTTATTAAAAACAGAAATACCTATTGCCCCTGCATTATCACAACAAACATATTGTGGTAAATGTGTAGGGAGAAATATGCGAACATTATGGCCTAATATGGCATAACACGAATATTTTTTATTGAAAATTGTAAATATTGTTGCTTCCGTTCGCATCGACAAATTGGTCAAGGGATTGCAAACATTTGGATTACACGTATTTAGAACCAGATCAAGGTATTAAAACGATTAATATTATTAATCATTGTGATATCTGCTGCTAATATTACTTTGAAAATTTTGCTCGTTCACAAATCACTACAAACGGCAGCTCTTTGTGATGCCACAGTCTAAAGCTTGACGTGCTCTCCGTACATTGACCACGTAGGTACGTGGCAGATTTTTTGCTGACGCGACACAGGTTAAGAGTTAATTGCAAAATGTTATTCCACAAAATTACCGACGAGGAAAAAACATCGTACATTTTAACCTTAAATAATGAACTAGTCTTTTATGGCTTTAGTGACTGATAGTTATCATAAGTCATTAGTAATATGCATATTTTGGCTGAGACCTTGTAACATCTAGGCACAATGCTCGATGGCCTCAGTAAAGCCTCTCAATAAGTGGGTTTCAAAATGAACATGGACAAGACAAAAATCATGTCAAATGTCCGTGGTACACCCACTCCTCTGAAGGTTGGAGACTACTCGAAGTTGTTGACAATTATGTATACTTGGAACAAACAGTCCAGTTACAGACAGACAGGTCACACTTCAAGAAAGAGGTAAATCGTCGAATCCAACTCGGCTGGGCAGCGTTCGGGAAGCTTCGCGATATGCTCACGTCCAAAATATTGGCTGTATTGTTTCTATTCCAATGAGGTTTCCTTAACGATAAAATTGAAGTCTTTACTTGTACCTTATTGTTACGGAGTTATCAATAAATTAATAAGTTATATATTCTTACTGATGATCCATCCGACCGATTTCGGCCATGGCCACCACTCCGACTCCTAGCTGTCTAGGCGGCGCTGGTGTGCCCGAAGATGGCTTACGTAGCCGATCTTCGCAGCAAATCCCCTCGCACATTGAGGGCATCTGAGCACGCCGCCAACATAGTTAAAGTGAATGGCGGCAGATGGACGGGCCTTCGAGTCATCGCGCTTCGTATTTATATTCTTACTAACTAGAATATAAAACGTCTCTACCTACTCGCGAGTATATTCACTGCTTTGTTTGTTTACGTTTCGTATTACTCTTCTATGAATTTTATGACAAACCAAAGCATAAAATATATTGCACAAAAAATACACGACTCAACTAGCAACATAATTACATAACAATACACTGGCCAGACGTGTTTAACGAGGATTACGTCAAAGGATGTTTAAACGTACTAAATACAGATAAACATCCGTCTATTTCGTAGGTGAGCACCTTATCATGCTAAATCAACAAATCTCTATAGATTACGATAGAGTACCTATGTAGGTACATAGTCTATGTACCTATGTAACATAGAGTATATAGAGTACCTATGCCAGGGATGACGAACCTTTATGTATCAACGTGTCACTTTTTCAAAAAAAAAATTTGATGTAGTCATAGACGTGCCATCACCTAATGCTATCAATGAGGCGGTACAAGTGGCGCCACTGGCAAGTGACAGGACCTTACTTTACAGTGGCACTAACTGACGAGGGCAACTACGATAGCCCTTATTCAAAACACATTATTTGCTATTTTATTTTAAAGTGAATTTTGTGATTGGTGGCGTGCCCTAAATATTGTGACGCGTGCCATGGACGGCACGCGTGCCATTGGTTCGCCATCCCTGACCTATGCTATACCTACACTAACATTTCACGATAATTTATATAGGTACTCACTTCTATCTATATCTATAAAAGCAAAAGGTCACTGACTGACTGACTCACTCATTCGTCACAAAATCTCAGAAACTACAAGTGCTAGGAGTTTCAAATTTTGGATGGGGGTTAGAACGTAGGTGCTCACTAAGACGGGGTTTCTCAAAATTCAACCCTTAAGGGGGTAAAACGGGATCCACGCGTACGAAGTCGCGGGCGGCCGCTAGTACTTACTAATTTTATAAAACTGAACAGTTCGTTTGTTTGTTTGAACGCACTAATCTCAGCAACTACTGTTTCGTTTTGAAATCTTCTGATTATGTTGTGGTTAATTTAACCAAAATCCTCGTAAAATAAACAAAAATTTCCTTAAGTGACACCTCTATATCAGAAATGTTATCTTCATAAATGTTAATCATAAGAGTATATTATATAAATGTTGTTGGTATGCCATATAAATAAATAAATAAATAAATAACATTTCAATTTACGTGTCCCATCAATTATTCGCTGAAAGTCATCATTCATCACTCACCGAAAACATTTTCATTCTAATTGAGTATCGGTTATAGTG